CTTGGACATCCCACAACTTCTATGATATCACAAGTGCTTAAATTTTGTAATGAAAAATTCAATGCAAATAAAGTATTTCAGTTTTGTGATGCCTGCCAACTCGGTAAATCACACTCCTTGCCATACAAACCATCTGCTTCACGTGCATTAGCCCCACTTGATTTAATCCACACAGACGTCTGGGGGCCTGCACGTATCAATTCCACCTCTGGTTTCAAATTTTATATCCTCTTCATTGACAACTTTAGCAGGTATACATGGATCTATCCCATGAAAAATAAATCTGAGGCACTAAACTTGTTCATTCAATTCAAAACTCTTGTGGAAAACAAACTTGATAGAAAGATCAAAATACTTCAGTCTGACTGGGGAGGTGAATTTAGAGCATTCACTAATTTTGCCCTAAAATCTGGTATTGATATGCGTCTATCCTGTCCCTATACATTAGCCCAAAATGGTAGAGCCGAGAGAAAATACAAGCACATAACAGAAACTGGTCTAACTTTCCTTGCTCAAGCAAATATGCCTTTACACTATTGGCGGGAATCATTTCACACAGCCACTTATCTTATCAACAGACTACCTACACCTGTTCTCAAAATGAAAGCCCCTTGTCAAATTCTGAATAATGAACAGATTGAATACAAATCACTCAAAGTCTTTGGTTGTGCTTGCTTTTCGTGTCTCAGACCATATCAAGGCCACAAGTTTAGTTTTCATTCCACTAAGTGTGTGTTCCTTGGTTTTAGCAACTCTCACAAAGGCTATAAATGTCTCAGCCCAACAGGAAGAGTATACATTTCTAGGCATGTGGTTTTCAATGAAAATGAGTTCCCCTTTCAATCTGGTTTTCTAAACAAAAGAGCTGAGTCACAGAAAACTGAAACCATTATTCAATATTTTCCTTTCCATACACCTCATAACTGCAGTCCAACTTGCTCAACTGATGAAGCCCACTTTAATGTAACTCCAACAGCAACGCCCTCAGAGTTTGATTAGCAGGAAGTCTTTGAAAATGTGATTACTAAGGAAAATGTGAATGAGAATACAGAAACAAATGTTGAAGACACACAAATGGAAAGTCAAGAGGAAATTGCAAATCCTCAGATAGAGCAAACTGATAAAGGTGATGAACAGAACTTGAGTGTGGCAGAACATGTGAATCAGACTATAGAGCATCCCATGATCACCAGAGGTAAAGCTGGTATATTTAAACCAAAGGTTTGTTCAACTCAATGCCAGCAGTACCACATGGAACAAAGTGAACTAGAACCTAACAATGTGGCTGAGGCCTTGACTTGCAAAGAGTGGAAAGAAGCAATGGAAGATGAATACAGGGCATTGATGAAAAACAACACTTGGCAGTTGGTACCATCTCTGAACAGTCAAAAGGTGATTGGAAACAAATGGGTTTTTAGACTTAAACAAGATATTGATGGAAGAATATTAAAGCACAAGGCAAGACTTGTTGTCATAGAGTTCTTGCAAACACCAGGGATCGACTATCATGAAACTTTCAGCCTAGTCATAAAGGCTTCCACTCTGAGGATAATTCTTTCTCTTGCAGTTTCAAAGAGCTGGAGCATCAGACAAGTCGATATCAACAATGCCTTCTTAAATGAGAAACTAAATGAAGAGGTTTATATGAGTCAGCCAGGAGGTTTTGTTGACAAAGCAAATCCCACCTTTATTTGCAAACTAAAAAGGGCCCTTTTATGGACTCAAGCAAGCACCTAGGGCTTGGTATGAAAAGCTAAAGAAAACACTTTTGGATTGGAAGTTTATCAAGTCAAAGGCAGATAGCTCACTGTTCTTTTACATGAACCAGAAGCAAGTAATCTTTGCACTAGTGTATGTTGATGATATAGTGGTTACAGGAAATGATCAGAAGGTGTTGCAATAGTTCATTGATAAGTTGAATGCACAGTTTGCACTGAAAGATATGGGAGAGTTACATCGATTTTTGGGAATTGAGGTAAGAAGAGGTGAGTCAAGGATGCATCTTACCCAGATCAAGTACACAAAGGACCTGCTAAAAAGATTCAATTTTGAACATCTCAAACCCTGTGCAACTCCTATGACAGTAGGCAAGATTATCTCCAAGAATGAAGGAGAAAAGATGACTGATCCTTCAATGTATAGAAGTGCAATTGGTGGACTACAATAATTAGTGCGCGCACGGCCCGACATAACCTTTGATGTGAATAAGATGAGCCAATTCTTGCAAACACCTTCAAATGCTCACTGGAAAGCTGTTAAGAGAATCTTCAGATATTTGAAAAGAACCATTGAGCAAGGATTATGGATTCAAAGGAGTAACGAAATATGCATTACTAGCTTTGCTGATGCAGATTGGGCATCATGTCCTGATGATAGAAAGTCAACGGCTGGTTATTGCATATACTTGGGATATACATTGGTTGCTTGGTCTTCAAAGAAACAACACGTTGTGGCTAGGTCCAGCACAGAATCTGAGTATAGAGCTTTAGCACAAGCTGCTGCTGAGATAACTTGGATTGAATCACTACTTAAAGAGATCAAACTGCCCTCAGCCTCACCTCCAGTACTTTGGTGTGATAATCTTAGTGCAAATGCTCTAGCCTCAAATCCGGTCTACTCTGCTCGAACTAAGCATATTGAATTAGATATGCACTTTGTTAGGGACAAGGTTCTTGAAGGCAAGTTGAAGATTCAATATGTTCCATCATGAGATCAAATTGCAGACTTGCTGACCAAGCCTCTCTCACAGACCAGATTTCTATTTCTTAAAGACAAGCTTGGAGTTAAAGAATAAACTCCAGCTTGAGAGAGGATGTTAAAGTTTGTCATCACACTCAGTGGCTGATCACGAGCTAAATGCAAGATCTCATCAAGGCTAATGTGCACCTGGGGTGCTGGTGTGAAGTTAGTTGTAACCATATTTTATTCTTGTGCCTTGCACGTGTAAATTGATTCTTTTCTTGTTCACCACTCCAAAAGTGGCTATATATACTGTATAATACTCAGTGTAAAATACATCTGAAAATATAATACAATTACACAATTTTATCCCCTGCTTCTACAGTAAGTTGCTGTTCAATAATATTATCAATTTCTACTCATTTACAGCCACCAACTTATAACCAGAAGCTCCCCAATTTTCCCTTTAATTCCAAAAAGCATCCTTTTTATTTCTAGCGGCCAGCCTTTTTCTGTGTTTACCTAATATGCATGTAACCGCCCCTGCTCAGATTCTGGCCATGTGTATATATATTTATGTTTTCCTCCAACAGGCGTCGCTTTCTGTAGGTGTATCTTGTTTTTTTTGTGTGTGTATATATTTAGTGCTTGTTTGGTACAAATTTTAAGCTAATTAAAATTAATTTGTTTTTATCGTTATTTCACTATTTCAGTCGTCATTTTCGAATTCTTTTCTCATAGGTGGAACTCACTTTATCTCTAACTGTCAAAAAATTAATTATCGAAATCACATACATAAAAAGTCAAAACCTTAACAGCAGCCGCCAACTTTTTGTGCAAAAAAGAGTCCAATTCCATTTTAATTTCAGCCAACTTTTGGTCCAATTATACTTCCATTTAATGTTCAAGTTGAGACCATTTAAGTCCAATGCATTTTACTTTCAAGGCTTTAAATCTTCCGAGCATAGTTATTAAATCCGACCCAGACAATGTAGTGGGTCAACGGTGACCCGGCGGGTCAATTCCTATTAAAAATACTATGATCTATTTCCATCGAATAAATTTTTTTTCCATTTTCTACTAATAACTAAATTAATCTCATATTATTTTGTTAACTAAATATCTATTTGTATCCCAATTTCACAAATTCTGGATCATAATGATTAACAAGAAAAAAACTTAAGTAAAACCAACAATTAATGATTAAAAAAGAAAAAGAAAACACTACTTCATATGGCAATGTTTAACAAGATAGCTTCATATAGTTTAAGCATATTCTTGCAAAAGTAAAACTATCAACTAAAAGTTAAACGTGGATAAAGAACATGTTAACAAAATAAATTATTTGAAGTTAGCCAATATTTTCTCAATTAAGAAGAGTTAGAGGGCATCCATGCTGGGGTCTCGAACATAAATTCTTCAATTCCTTCGACTTGTATCAATGATGGAGTCTCAGTCATACTAAAATCCTCATTTTCATTGTTTGTATCATTTCCATTGTCGTCATTTCCATCACAATCAAGATCAAGATCATCAAAATGTAATTCATCTGAAAATAGTTGTAAATTTAAACGTTACATCATATATACTTTAATAAAAAGAAGAAACAATAGCATCAATCAAACAATTACCATCGTTTTTATCATTTTGTATAGAGCATGCACTCAAATCACGACGAAATGTCTCTAACTCATCATCTACCATATTCGGTGGCTCCTCCTCTAATACCCAATTGCCATAAACGCCAAATCGTTCAAAGTCGATAGGATCACAATTTTGACTTTTGAAATAATTCCTAAACAAAGTTTATTATCCAATTTATAATTAATCAAAATCTAATTCAAGTAAAAGAAAGCAAAATCTTAAAATAAAATAAAAAATCACAGAAGGATGAAATGATTTATTTAAATAACATTACCGTTGTTGCAATCGTAAATTGTAGTGCACATAAACAACATCATTAAGCTTTTGGTGCTCGAGTCTATTTCTCTTTTTAGAATGAATATGTTCAAACATACTTCAATTTCTCTCACAACCTGAAGAACTACATGTTTGACTTAGTACTCGAATTGCAAGTGTTTGTAAATTTGGTGCACTACTACCATAACACATCCACCATTCATCTGTACCAAAACAAAGAGAAAATAAAATAGGCATATGTTACATAAACTAAAATTTGATTTATATAACATAACAAAGTACATAACATGAGAATAGAAATTTACCAGGACCCATCTTATGACGATCTGCTAGTGTTGATAAACGTCCAAAGTCACCATGTGCTTGCCTAAATAATCTCATTTCACTGGTCAATTTGCTTTTTAAATCAGGTTGACTATAAGCATATCTCTCAACACCATTGCTCTTAATGGATCCTTTTGAGCCAATATGCTTTGTAGAGCAATAAAGTTAGTAGCAAAACGAGTAGGAGCGGGTCGTAGTATTTCCTTTCTTCCAATAAACTTCCTCGTCAAATGCAACGTGTAGCAATGGTTGTATATGTATTTTGTTATTTTTGATGCTTGAGATACGACATTACTAACTTCATCAAGCTTACCAATATCATGAAACATTAAATTAATGCAATAAGCTGCACATGGAGACCAAAATAATGTTTGAAACTCTCGCTCCAATAATCTACCAACCTACCAGTGGCAACATAGTTTGCTGCATTGTCAGTCACCATATGAACCACATATTCTGAACCTACAAATAACACAATATCTCGAAATAACTTGTATAACATGTCAGCACTTTTTGATTCATCTGAAGCATCTACAGATTTTAAGAATATTGTTCCTTTTCGACAATAAACTAAAAAATTAATAAGAGTTCTTCTACATTGATTTGTCCAACCATCTGCCATAATTGTACAACTAGTCGTTTTCCACGTTGAACGATAGCTTTCAACATACTTCTGAACCTCCTCAACATTTTTAGCCAATAAATAACCACGAAGACTATGAAAGTTCGGTCCTTTATAGCCAGGGCTCATACTAGCTATGACATCTATACTTTGTTGATAATACACAGAATTTACAGCATTGAAAGGAATACACGAATCAATCATCCACTTGGATATAGTGAGGTCACATTTCTCTATAGCTTCTTTGCTCTGAAGAACACTTTTGATAGTAGGTTGGTTACCAGGTCCTGTTCTTGGCATGAAGTAAGAACCAATTCCTTTTTGTTCTTTCAAATGTTTAGCTCCCATTTCTTTTCCTTGACTTTTCTCAATAGCTATATTCTTTCGTTGAGAACTAAGAGGAATGATCTCTTGCACATCATCATCACCCAAATTTCTATACATTTGCTCTTCTTGTTCCCGATAGTAAGAGCTATGTGGGTTACACTCATTAAGAACTTCTTGAGTTCTACGTTTCTTCGCAGCAAAGATGTCCAAGTTTTCTTTCATTTTAAATCTAACATCAGGAGGTACTCTACGACAAGAATCTACATCACCTTTTAATGCCGCTAAATGTTGTTTGACTCGATTAATACCACCTCCACCAAAAGTCTTTCCACAATACAAGCAAACAAGTTTTTTTTTTATTTCCATTATTACCAGCTTCTAAAACCTCTCTACAATGTCCCCATGCTATATCAATTCTTCCTTTAGCACGATTCTTGGTTGGAGAAGAACTATGTGGTGTACTATTAACACCAGTGAACTACAAAAAAAAAAGGTTACATTACAAACATTTAGTTGGGGACCAATGATGAAAAGTGTTCACGAAATAATTCTTTCGATTTAAAACTATCGCAAGTGTACGGTTCGTAACAAGTAATAAAGTGAATTTTAAAAAGTCCGAATATCGTCCCTCAGAGATTGAATAGTTCAATTCTATATAATCTAGCGTTAACCGAATCTAATTGAGTGAAAATATGGTCTAAATGCAAAAAAGCCCTAATTTCAATTAAGAAACCCTAATTTCAACTAAAAACCCTAATTTATATTGAAAGCCCTAATTTCGAAATTTCTCTAATTAAATGACTCAAACACTCAAGTAAATGAAATTATGCAAATTCAAAAGCTAATTTATGCAAATTAATCAAATTAAAGTCACTAGGATCACGAATCCCCAATTGAAGTTATAAAAACCCTAATTTCATAAAATTAATGACCCGATGGAAATTTGCCAATTCAATGTTCCTAATTCTATCCAATATATTCTCTCAATATATATTAGACCTATTCTTGCACACCACCAGCCTATATCTCTATAGATGATGCAAATATACAAGAATGCATGTGGTTTTGTGAACAATTAAAGAATTGCATAAAGCATAGGGGTATATCTCTATCCCCTATCGGACCCTATGTTAATTTACACCTTATCGAACCTATTTCTCTTCTCTCGAATATAAGAAATAAGTCATCAACACTCACACAATCATTGGCCACTAATTGCGGAAGAAAATTAATGCATGTAAACCAAGCAAATTATCCAAACAAGTCTTTATATTAAATTCATGAAATATGGAATTAAAATAACAAACAACGGTTCATCGATCACCTAGTAATTGAAAATCTAGCCTAGCATAATGGGAAATAAAGAAAAACAATAATTAAAACCAAGGAAGAACATCACCCAATTGATTCTTGAAGTGAAATCTTGAATCTTGAAGTGGATTGCCTTGTTTTTGCCTTGATCTTCCTCTCCAAATCCTCCAAAATTGTGTATATTTCCTCCCTCTTTATGTTTCAGGATCGTCTGGTATTTATTGGAGGCGGAATTAGATCAAGGAAGTCGCTCAAAACTTTACTAAATCATGTTTGAGTCGAATAAGAAAACCCGAGATTTCGTCACATTTTTATACCATGCGACTGCATGGTATAAAGCCATGCTACCGCATGGTTCAGAAGTTTCAACTCAGATTTTTCTCTGTACTGCCTTGTGCGACCGCAAGGAATTATAACCATGCGACCGCATGTTTATAGAAATTTTTCCATCGGACAGTTTTCAGTATTTTGGTCATAACTTTCTCTCCCGATCTCCGATTGAAGTGATTCAAAGTGCATTGGGAAGAAAACTCAAAGATATACACTTCTGATAGAAATAGGCTTCCACAAATTCTGATTTTTACTATGCCAAAAATGGATCTCAAATAGAGACTAAAAATCACGAGCATAACTTTTTCGCCTGAAAGTTGATACTTGATAATACTTCGACCATATTTCGCCTCTTGACTCCTTTCCTCATCCGATTGACCTCTAACACTCTTGAATCTTCATTCCATTTCCCGTCTCATCTATGGATTATTTGCAACTTGGTCCCTGAATTATCACTTTGCTCCATTTTAGTCTTTTTTCGACTCTTTTATTCTGAATTTCACCATGTTCATCGGTGTTCCCTACAATTCACAAATATAACGAGATTGAGTCACAATTCAATCATTTTGCACATTATTAAGTCATGTTTGTGACCTAAATAAGTGTGCAAAAACACACTTATCAAAAAGTTTCCTTTATCACAATATCAATGAAATCCAGGTAAGAATGTTTTTAAATTATGTTATAGAGGTAGGGTTATGTGTATGTTAGTAGCACTTTAAAGTTTGTACACTGATCAAAGTGAGAATATTTGATGGACCAGGTTTGAAATTTGTACATGATCCTGCTTTATCAAAGAATTTGTTAATGATTAGCTATAGTTTTGTGTATTATCCAGATATTATTGATGGGTCCTTCCAATACTTTATGAGAAATTTCACTACAAATTTATCAGTTCAGATTTATATGTACAGTTCCTAAAGCTGCTGGAGATTTATTTCTTTGATTGTTTAGGATTTCATAAGGTAAGGAAAATCATAAGGTGACACAAATGTAAGGTAAAACATAAGGTAAGGAAAATCATAAGGTGACACAAACATAAGGTAACACAAACCATGAGGTAAATCATTAGACAAATGCTGTGCGTGAGCATAATCAGTATTTTCAGGTAATGTTGAAATTAAAGATGTTAGATGATAACACAAACTTGATCAGCTTCAACAAAATTCTCCAGAACATAAGCATCCTGTCTTGTAAGTTAGATTCTATGTTACTTGACAATATTAAAGAGAAAAAAAATAAGAATCTACAAAGCGTAATGGCCCAAAATTCTCCAGAACATAGTCATCCTGTTTTTGTTATATGAGTTGCTAAACAAGTTCCTTTTCCCCTTTAAAGCTGATTTGCAGGTGTTTATACAATATATATTGAGTCAAAGCAGTATTTCCCCTCTCTTGAATTACTCATGAAATCATATTGCATACATATATGTTTGACCTACATAAAAATAGATAATTTCAGCTTCCTGTTCAAAAATAAATTTTGGCGCCCTCCCTTAAAAATAAAGAAACAAGAAAAAATACTCGTGTGGTGTATTCTTTACCAGTCAATTCTTCCATGGAACCACCATCACAATCTACTTCTAATGGTTCTCACAAGGTTCATGAGCTTTACTTCTGATGAGTTTCAGCCTGGAAATTTTGCCTTGTGTTACATAAAAAATACTTGAACCCAAAAAATCAAGAGAATGTAAACTACCAATGCACATATTTGGACTTGTACTGCACTTTGACTCGTGCATATGAATTATAAGGATTTTTTTTTAATCATTATAAACCTTTCTCTGTCCAATATCCTTGATTTTTGCCGTGTTCTGGTTAACATCTCTCTATTACAAAATGGGTTGTGATTCTTTTCCCACAGATTTATCCATTTATTTTTCTGAAAACGAAAACAATGATCACTCCAAATCGGGTGTGTTTGGAAGAAATTTCTCTTGAAGGATTGTTCCTTTTCTAACAAGAAGTCGAAGTGCAGTGCATATTTCAAGTAAGAACTATTATAAGCAATGAGGAATCTATATGAAGACATAGTTTTGTACTCCAAGAGAGCGGAAATACTGTTTTGCCTCAATATATATTGTATAAACACCGATTCTTTACTCTGATTTTGCAGCAATTCAAAAATAAAGTTCAAGGTACCTAAATAAAGGGAAATACTCGTTTGAAATTAATTCATTCATACTTCATTAAGATATATTTTAAGCATGAAATTTAGGTAAAAATCAGGTAAAGTATACAACATAGAACATAAAGACGGGTAGGTCGTTGAAGTTGAGGTAAAAATCTTTCAAAAATCACCAATCTAAAGATGTATTTTCGCACATAATTTGAGGGGAAAAAACTGAAATTTACAAACAAACTCATAAAATTTAAACTTACATCTTCTTCCATCTAATACAACTTGAAATTTGAAGGTTTGGATTTTAGGGAGTGAAATTGCAAGGGACGCTGCCGGCTGCTCTTCTACAGAAACGGGCGTAGGGTTTAGTGTGAAGGAGAACGAGATAATGGGATTTTACATGAAGTCTGTGGACCGGGAGGTTTATTAGAAATTGGGTCAACAGTTTAGTGGAAAACCGACGGATCCTGTGGGATTTTAGCGGGTCAGCAGCATAGTTAAAAAAATAAGTAGCTCGGACCGGACCATGGTCCGGTTCGACGGTTTTTGGGTTGAACCGGCCGGTCCGGTCCGAGTTTGATAACTATGCTTCCAAGTAATGCACTTTAAATCTTGAATTCAATTAATTGTGCAATCCTTCAATTTCTAAAGTATAGACATCGATCTCCCAAAATTGCAGATTTCATTCAATTTCATCATTCTTTCTTTTCCACTTGCTTCAAATCGGGTTCGACACTGAAACAATAAAAAACTAACCCAAGTTAAGTAAAAATTAATAATTTGGCGACATAAAAGTTTAGTTATATAGTTCGAATAAATGCACAAAATGCACGCGGTTGAATACACAGGTGAGCTGACTCATAAGAGAAGCTAACAAAAGCAACCTGAAGTCTCCTTCTACAAGTCTGTCTGATCAATCTTGTTCAAGAATTCTACTCCCACAAATAGATCTCACTTCATTAGACAATGATTCAGGGGGTACAAAGCCAGCTGCTTTCATCTGGTAAAGAAGTTTAATGGCCTCAATGCAAAATCCATGTTGTATGAAAGTAGTAAGCAATGCATTCCAGCAGGCATCAGTTCTCGCATCTTCGCTTACCTCGAAAGCCCTTGTCGCGTCCTTCACAAATCCGCATCTCCCATACACGTCAATCAAAGCACACTGCACATAATTGTTGAATTCGGCTCCAACTTTTATCACATTGGCATGAACTTGCCTACCACAATATCCCCCATCCCCCATCTGACCACAAGCCTTAAGAATACTCGAAAACGTGTAGCTATTCTTCCTCACTCCTTCTCTCCCCATCTCCCTAAAAATATTGACAGCTCCTTCATAATCATCTTCGTGACAGAAATTAGCAATCCTAGCTGTCCAAACAGCAGTATTTCGACTATAAACCCGATCAAAACAAATTTCAGCTCCTACAGAAAACTTACATTTACCATAAAAATTAATCAAGAAACTAGTCAACATGGCATTCCTTGACAATCCCATTTTCAATAGCCAGCCATGAATTTGCATCCCAAGTTCCAAGTCCATTGTATTCACACAAGCCTTAAGGACACACACAAATATCCCAGACACTGCAAACTTGATCTTGTCATCGTATGGATCTCTGAATTGTTCTTCACATAACATTTCAATAAACAGACCAATTGCTTCCCCATGATTACCATTTTCAACATAACCAGCAATCATGACAGCCCATGAGTTAAAATTCCTCACAGGCATTTGATCAAACAACCGGTTTGCATTCTCAAAACACCCACAGCAAACAAACATCAACAACAGACGATTAGCTAATGTGAAATTCAAACAAACCCCACTTTTCCTCATATGCAAGTACAATTCCAGGGCCTTCAAAGGGTCGCCAATTTTGGTGCACTCTTTGATGAGTGACATGTAAATATCCAACGATATGGGCAAATTAAGGCTGTCCATTAAGTACAAAATATCTGAGGTGGTAGTTGTGATCTTGGGGTTTGACTTTGTGGGCTGTGGTTTAACTTCAATAACAGGTTTAGGAGGTATGGATTTTGGCCTGTGGAGTGGCTGTTGAATCTGAGTTGGAGGGTTCGACTGATGGTTGATTAGATTAATATTCTTATGTTGAATGTAGTTTTTTTGTTTTTTTGGATAAGTATTGACATGGTATGTTGGTGCTTTCGGATGTAATGCTGTAAGTTCCATTATTAGAGCATTGATGCTGCTGCCACCGGCTATATCAAATGAGCAAGAAGAAATAATACACACTTATCGTATTATTCAAATCTTGGGAATGGAAAAAAAGAGAGCTACTATTTGTACATAAAATATGCCATCTGAATTAATATAGATAATATTTGATAATTTTTTGTTGGACAAAAAAAAAAGAAAAAAGACAAGAAGCATTAATTTTGACAGTACTGCTCCTGACAGAGCTGAGGTGTCCAACCCCTCAACCCTTGATCTAAGGTTTAATTTCAGAAGCATCTCAGCCTTGTCCCAGGCCCTGTTTATGTAGCATCTCTCTTTTATATATTAACCATTTAGATAGCTTTACAAGTGTTGAGATAAGCACTTATATGATTTTTTTAAATTTTCTTTTTTGCCTAGCACCCAATGAAAATCTGCCAAGTGAAATTCTGTCCATTTCCTCGTAAAACTTCTTTGCACACATAGCGTTGTTCAAAATTTTGAACTTTTAGAGAGAGAATGCTTTTAGAATAATGCACTTGTACATAATGAATTTACTACATACGGATGATGTGTAAAAAAGAGATTGAATTCATTTTTATTTTATTTTTTTGGTTGAAGAAATTTTGACCCGCACAATCGATATTTTTATACATAGGCACTCATCGCTGTGGGACGCCCTTCTCCTCTTCTTCTAAACAGAAGGCATGAATCTGAAGGAACCTCCAAATGCATCTTTTTCCATACAGCTACAAAAACTGATGCAATTTGTGTCGATGGACTGCCCACCGGCCACAAGATTCTTGAAACTATAATATTTGATCCGCGACGTGACGTGATGTGACACGACATGACACAATCAGACCAATAACACTAGCACATGCACAAATTTCGTATGTATAACCTCCACATAGAATTGTCTTCTAGAGTGCAATAAATCAGACCAATAACACTAGCACATGTACAAATTTCGTATGTATAAGTGCCATACGGAATTGTCTTCTGGCGTGTATTAAATTGGAGGTTGATTTCTTCACGCAATACGATCCGATTGTTCAATTCACATAAAGGTGCAATCTGATTGTTGAAAATTTGCAGTAAGGAACTGGGAATGACTTGAGGCCCTAACACAATCTTGTAGTAGACTCTACTAACTGCAATTTAAAATAAAAACAAGTGTAACATTTCCAACAACTTAAAACACTTGTATCAATTTGTTAACATAAAACTAGAACTGAGCAAAAGACCTAAATTCATGTCTCATAGCCACTATATGAAAATTGTGTTGATCAAAAAATAAATTTGTTATATCTGCAAGAAGACGTGTTGAAGACAACATAAATGAGTATATATACACAACAGATCGACAATGACCAAGCAAACCCAACACCTTAACCGCTTCATTGGCTTCCCAATTCTTTTATTCTTCAAGAAGCATTTGCAAGTATATGTACACCCTTGCACAACAATCAGGGATGTCCAAGCTCTAAACTTGTGAGGAATGTTCTATCCAAACTCACACCTAAAGATGCCTCTCTGGTAACCTGTTCTAAACCCATGGAATGGGAGGAGATTTTGAAAGAAAACATATCGTTAGGAAATAATCCAATATACATCGTGCTGCAACTCAAAGCTTAAAAGCCAAAGAAGCAAAGCCTAATGATAATTTATCCCACCTGAGACGGGTCTGTTAGGAGCAGGCTATTGTGTTCTGTTTCCTTTACGCCCCTTCCATCTATTTTCGTCTGCTGTAGTTCTTGTTCCAGATCCCATTGTCTTGTTATTCGTTGTTTTGGTGTTCCCAAATTTGAGAGCAACAACGGGTTTAATGTACAACAGTCCAGGAAAGTGTCTTTTCTCTTTCGGAAGCACCCGCAACTGAGGTAACCAGTAAGCCACAAATTCTCCTTCAGGATCGTAATTCTGTGCCTGAAACATATTAATATAGCTTTAGGTAAACCAAAAGTGTCCTTTGTTAGTTCATATACATGTAAACAAACAGGAATTATAAAAATTAAAAATAAAACTCCTGCAAGTACAAGGATAGAGGAGTCGTGGAGTTTGGCTAGTCTTGGAATAAGCACATTTGAAAACAAAAGTAGGTGTGTAGAAGAAGATGAAGCTCCAGCCTTTTAAATGAGATGGTCATTAAATACTTCACATCGGCATGACATGAAAGACTCCCAAACCTCCTAAAATTCTTCATCCAAACTTTTAGGTATTATTAAATTCCTAACCTTGAACTGCTAAGCTAGTAGAATGCAGATATAGGATTTTCCATATTGTTAAGATACATCGAGATTTTTCCATCCCAGCATACCAAACTTTCGCCTTTTTGTTCTTTTATTTCCATTAGTTCTCGTAGCTTTCCCACTGATGCTTATATCTTCAGTTTTGCATAAGAAAACGACATAGGAAAGCAGCCAGCTAGTATTAATGTAACTGAAACTAATTTTTTGAAAAACTAAATATTAATCACTTACCTGCTTCGGAATGCTGAAGTAGCGATCCTCTCTTGGGTCATTCCCAACACCTTTAAAAGTAAGGCAAGGATGTTAAAATATTCAAGGTCCTAATTCTCAGTACCAAAAGTAAAAAAGTAAATAAATAAATAAAGAAGTAAGGCATGATAGGTAAGGAGGAATTAACATGCACCTAAGGAAACTTAATATTCTACAAATTTGACGTCAGGATTAACAGTATGGTTATTGATTTTTTCAAGCTATTGACAGGTAATAAGCTTTACAACTCTTTCCACCACAACTAAAAGCACAAACATTCTTGCCAAAACTGAAACTGAAGTGAACGGATTTGGTGAAATTAAAAAAGGTAGAAGTCATCCATTTTATCGAGTCAAAGATTTATACCTGTGTCTGTATATTTTAAAGTGGAGAGGGGTATAGATACTTAATTTCATGAAAACACAAAAGGGAAATGGTATATGTTGACCCCGGAAATTGGTCTTTCCACGTAGCCAACTGAAAGCTACTCCACGTATTCCTCCCTGCACACAATCAGCGAATAGTCAGGCGCACACGGCCGGAACCAACGGGGGTAGTGGCGGCCGTATACACTCCGACAGTCAAGTCAGGTTTGGGTGATCGGAACAGTACCCAGGGGTTATGCAAATCAACAATAAAGGGGGAGGAGAAAATATATAAACTTGCTATGGAGTGCTATGTATTAAGAGTTTCATTCCCTTTGCCTATTGCCAAACCTTGGGTATTTATAGGTGGTATGAACCGTTGGATGTGGAACGCGTGTATACATCTGACAGTATGAAGCGTCTGCTCATAGGCGTCAATCAACCGCGAGTGGGCGGACAGTTTGTTTCCTCTGAGTTGAATTGACATCAAGTTGATAAGTCACATCAACTAGCCTCATGGAGACGTCAAATCAATTTAAGCCTTAGGTGCAGTACAAATCTCAAATTGGCGGCGGATCTTCTAACCAGGGACCACTTGATCTCAACCTCGGAGGTGAGATGCTTCGGCAGATCAGTAGTAGGAATCGCTAAATCACTTCGGAGAAGCTTCAGAAGGGTCGTTTTCAGGTCGGAATAAGTGGTGCTGCGGGGGGTCCACTTGATCTCGGCCTCGGAGGCGAGATGACACTTCGGTATCCGAGGCGTGTATAATCGGAGCGTAACAGTGGTCCCCCAAGTCCGTGGATGAATATTTATATCATGTGTGGATTTGCTTTCCTGACCGGACCGCAAGTCATGGGAGTTTTGGGGGTTGGTCTGTTGCGGCAATCGAGGTTATGATAATAGGCAGATGTGCCAAAGTTTCGTTCTTGTGCGTTGCATACGAGACGGTCAACCAGCATGGGACGTCGCGTAAGGTGCATCGAAGCTTCATGAATATGGTGCGCTGACCCCAAAGACCGACGCGTTGGGAGATGGCTGAAACTTTGTAAAGCATGGGAGGGAACGCAGCGTCCGAGGCGATGACCCAAAAGGGCCTTCGCGTCAGGTAAAGGTCGACACGTTGGAAGACGGCTGAAACTTTGTAAAGCGTGGGAGGGAACGCAGCGTTCGAGGCGATAACCCGAAAGGGCCTTCGCGTCAGGTGCGTCCAAGCTTTGCAAAGTTGAAGGAGGAGCTCATCTGCCATCGGTGCGCTAACTCCAAAGGTCGACGCGTTGGGAGATGGCTGAAACGTTGTAAAGAATGGGAGGAAACGCAGCGTCCGAGGCGATGACCCAATAGGGACTTCGCGTCAGGTGCGTCCAAGTTTTGTAAAGCTGGAGGAGGAGCTCATCTGCCACCGGTGCGCTGACCCAAAAGGTCGACCCGTTGGGAGATGGCTGAAACTTTGTAAAGCATGGAAAGAAACGCAGCGTCCGAGGCAATGACCCAATAGGGCCTTCGCGTCAGGTGCGTCCAAGCTTTGTAAAGTTGGAGGAGGAGGAGCTCAATCCGAGGCGACTCAAACGTCAAATGATTTGACAACTGTTGCGTGTTTTCAAGGTGACAGTTGGGTGCCATGCCCATTCTCCTAAAAGGCTGCTGCGGCTACTAATTATTATTGACGGCTGGTTGTAACCGAGGTGAAGCGTTTCAAGTAAGCGTGAAAGTCACAGCGACATCTTGGGCGTAGATCAAATCTGGCGTTTCATTTCAATGGCCTAGATTGAGGATGCGATGAACGGCTTAGATTGATCGCATTTGAATTCAACGGTGGAGATCGGACTTGTTTTTCTATAAAAGGAGGACTCTGGGGTTTTCTCAGGCTTTCTACCCTTGCAAAACTAAGATTATACTTTGCTCTCAAATTTTTGGCGATTTTCGGCGTTTTGCAAGCAATTCCAGCGAGAAAAACTAGACTTCCGACGAGAAAAACTAGGCTTCCGGCGACCTTACACCATTTTCGGCTAGGAAAACATCCAAACCCGTAAGTTTCAGCACCAATTCAGGCTTTTAAATTTTTAAAGAATGGCCTCAGAGGGAAGTTCTAGTTCGGGGAGGGGTTTAGAAATAGTGAGGGTGGACGAGCCCATTGTGGCGACCTCCTTAGAAATAGCTGGGGCAATAACCGGGGGGGAGGGGGTGGGAGAACATATGGAAACGACCGGATAGCCCACCAGATACCTTTGTGCATTGGGGGGCGTCGGACTACCCATCAAAATTAAGCGAGGCCGACCTGGAGAGACTTAGGACAGAGTATAGGATCCCTGACAGCGTAGATTTAATCCTCCCCGGGCCGAAAGAGAGAGCCTGAGACCTTAGGCCGGGCTGTGTGGCCATTAGTGAGGCGATCCTTAGGGCCGGACTTAGGCTGCCCATCCACCCATTCTTTAGGTTGGTGCTTAGGTCCTATGGGCTAGCCCCGACGCAGCTCAATCCGAACTCCTGGAACCAGATTGTGGGCTCCTGGATGTTGTGGAAAGAGGCGTCATTAGGGGTGGAGATGCCCCTTTCCGTTTTTCATGTTACCATCTTTGGCTGCGAAATTCCCATTTACCTGATTTACTATGAGCTGAGAGTCACTGCTTGCTAGGAGCTTCCTGACCCGCATTTCCTTAGCGAGCCTTAGACCTGCCAGAAGGGCCTCGTATTCGACTGCGTTGTTCGAAGCTTTAAAGCCGAACCTTACCGCACAATTTAGCCTATGGCCTTCCGGGCTCTCCAACACGATCCCTGCCCCCGCGCTAGCCTCTCCTGAGGACCCATCTACAAATAGTTTCCATGTGGGGGGGGGGGCTCGGCTGGTTCCATTATCGTCTCCATTTCTGGGGCTTTGGTAAACTCAACCATAAAATCAGCAAGGGCCTGGCCCTTGACGGCGTGTCTAGGTCGGAACATTAGATCGAAATCGCTAAGCTCGATGGCCCATTTCAGCAGGCGTCCTGACGCGTCTGTTTTCTGCATTACCTGCTTTAAAGGGAAATTGGTGAGAACTTGTATTGAGTGGGCTTGGAAATATGGCCTCAGCTTTCTTGAGGCTGTGATAAGTGCGAGTGCCAATTTTTCCATGTCTGGGTAGCGTGTTTCAGCTGGGAGAAGTGCTTTGCTGATGTAGTACACTGGCAATTGACGCTCATTTTCTTCCTTGATTAGGACTGCGCTGACTGCCACGTCCGAAACTGCTAGATACAGTAATAGAGATTCATCCGGTTGAGGTTTCGACAAGAGGGGTGCTTCCCCAAGGTGCTTCTTCAGAGCCTCGAAGGCTTCTTCGCACTCCGAAATCCATTGAAATTTCTTTCCTTGCTTCAATACATTGAAGAAAGGCAAGCTTTTATCAGTGGCTCTGGAGATGAAGCGGCTGAGTGCGGCTATCCGACCATTGAGACTTTGGACCTCCTTCGATTTCTGAGGTGACCTCATTTCTAGTAAGGCCGTTACTTTCACCGGATTTGCCTCAATTCCTCTCTGCTTTACAATATATCCCAAGAACTGTCCTGATGCCACTCCAAAGGTGCACTTGAGGGGATTCAATTTCATATTATACTTTCTGAGTATCTGGAAGGTTTGGTCGATGTGACTCACGTGTTCGGTTGCCTGGAGGCTTTTGACCAACATGTCGTCTACGTAGACCTCCATGGTTTTGCCAATGAGTTCGACAAACATCATGTTGACTAACCTCTGGTATGTGGCCTCGACATTTTTCAATCCGAAGGGCATAACTTTGTAGCAATACAGGCCCTGTCCGTAATGAATGATGTAGCTTCCTCGTCAGGTCGGAACATGGGTATTTGGTTGTACCCTGAGTATGCATCCATGAAACTCAGTAGTTCATGCCCAGCAGTAGAGTCCACAAGTTGATCAATTCTCGAAAGTGGGAAGCTGTCTTTGGGGCACGCCTTATTTAGGTTTGTGAAGTCCACGCATACCCTCTACTTTCCGCTGGACTTTTTCACCAGAACTGGGTTGGATATCCACCTCGAATATATGGCCTCTCTGATGAAACCACTGCGGCTAAATTTGCTTACTTCGTCTTTCAGTGCCTCGTACTGTTCCGGGTTTAGGGCACGCCTCTTCTGTCTATGGGGAGCATAAGAGGGGTTGATGTTAAGGTGATGGCAACTGATCCTAGGATCTATTCTCACCATATCTTCATGTTTCCATGCGAAGACATCCAGGTTCCCTTTCAGGAAACGTATCATCTCAGTTTTTGCTTCAGGTGATAATGACTTCCCTATACGCAAGACTTGATTGGGGTCTTCCGGGTTGACGGGGAAAGTTTCCAATTCTTCCATGGGGGTCGCATTTGGTTCATAATCAATTATTTGGGGGTCTAACTCATCAAGAGGGTGTCCTTGTTCAGAGGCCTCTTCCATGTCGACGTCTCCCTTTTGTTCAGAGGTATGCCCTTGTTCAGGGGCGTCGAGCATTTCCACGTCCGTACCGACTTCAATGGGTACCTCGACTAGGATTACATTAATAGTTCGGGGCTCGGATTTGCACATCGAGTTTAGGTAGCATGCCCTGGAGCCCATCTGATTGCCCGGACTGTTGCAATCCCATGTTCAGTTGGAAATTTCATGCACAAATAGTGAATGGACGTCACAGCCCAAAGATCTTTCAGAGCGGATCTGTCCAATACTCCATGATAAGCCGATCTATGATCTACCACCAGAAATTCCATGAAATGCTGGGCTACTAGGGGTGCCGAACCCATTTCGACAGGCAAGGTGATCCGCCCTCGTGGGATTATGTTGTCCCCAGTGAATCCGAACAGTGGGTCGGTCATAAGAATCAACCCATGTTCAATTTACATTTTGTTAAAAGTGGAGCCGAACAATATGTTCACGGAACTGCCATTGTCAAGGAGCATGTGTTTTAATCCGTTTCTAGCTACTACGGCTCTTACAACCAAAACATCGCAATGGGGGTGGTGAACTCCCTCTGAGTCTTCCTGGGAAAAGGTGATCGAGGCCATCTTGTTTGCTGATTTCGATTCGTTAACAATGTAAGTGATCATCGGGGGATCCTTTGCTTCTCTTGTGTAATTTCTCTGGGCATTCCTGGTGTTGCCACCGACGTGGTGTCCCCCAATGATGGTATCGATTTCCCTGATGACCTGGCCTCCCGAAAATTGGGCTTGGTTCCCCTGCCTGGATTAGCCTCGGTTCCTCGATTCTCTTCTACGAGGAGATTGTTCCTGGTGACCTCTCCCTCCCCTCCCCGGGGAGGTGGATCTGCGAGGGTGTTCGCTTCTGCTGGAAATGTGAGGGTTGCTTCGATCAGGGCGCCGATTGGCATCATGACACTCACTAGTGTCATGTCCGTATAGTTGATGGAATGTACAAAACCTTGCTCCTGCCAAGGGTCTGTTTGACCTCTTTTTTCTTCTTATTGTTATCAGTTCTCCCAGATGGTCCCGCTTCAGCAGGGGCATTATCATATGCCAGTACCGGCACTGCATTCAATGTGCCGGAAGCTAGGACCTGTCCGGATGTGGGAGCTATGGTATGCCCTGCTTTGGTCCATTGCTGAGTAACAAGGTATGCTGCGGGGCCTCGACCTACCTGCCTCTGAGGAGGAGGGAGTCCCTGCGCGGCACGGTTGCGATGATCAATCATTTCTTCACTAACAATTTCCACTCTCATCATTTCGACCAGCTCGTCATATGTGGAGGGATTCTTGCTGCGCACCTCCCTCCAGAACAAAGTGTTCATGTTGAGCCCACCTTTCAGGGCTGGAAGGGCTTCCCTGTCAGTAACCTGTTCGCAGTAAGTAATTTCGTCTATAAACCTGGCGAGATAGCTTTTTAGCGTCTCTCCAGGGGCCTGCCTCATGTCTTGCAGGCGTTGAATTGGTGCCTCTCCTTCCCTGCGTGAGAGGTACTGGTTCAAAAATACTTTCTTCAAGTCTGGTCAACTTCTGATGCTTAGGGGAGGAAGCCTGCTGTACCATACCTCGGCGGCTCCGGCTAGTGTTAAATGGAAGACTCTGCATTTTAGAGCAGGCGAGGCTCCCCTAAGGCTCATTTGTGTCATATACTTTGTGAGGTGCTTCTCCGGATCCCCCTTTCCCTCATACTTGGGGATCTTAGGGGGCATGAAGTTAGCTAGCATTGGGAAGCTTCGAATCTCCCTTGAGAAAGGGAGGTTATCGTCAATCTCATAAGATCGACAGGGCCCCTCTAGCCCTTCATCATCTTGGATGTCCTGGGGAGGTGGAGGTGCTTCTCCTCGACTCCCCCAATCGACTAGGTTTCTCCTCTCCCTCCTATTTCTAGGAGGAGGGGGAACATGTTCTCGTTCGTGATCCGGACGAACTGATCCTCTTGCTGGCCAGACCCTATTGCTAGGATTCTCCCCTATCCGGTCGAAGACGCTTACCGACCTTTGGTCGTCGTGTTCTTGAGGGAAATTGTCCCCCAAGCGTGGTTCTGATGGCCGACTCCCTTGCACATAAGATATTGCTTCGGCGTTCATATCCCTTTCGAGGGGGCATTCTGTGTGCTGACTCATGTGGCCCCGAGAGTGAGATAAAGGGATTTCCTGCAGCGGATAAGATCTTTGGGGCCTTTGATAGCTCTGGTGTCCCTGGGCTTGCATGAGGAGTTCCTGCATCGCCATATTCTGAGCTGCTATGTCTCTCATACCCGCAGCTATCTAAGCCATTCCTTCAGTGAGTATGGTTGTTCTTCCGCCTCGGCGACGTCGGTGATGCGGTCTCTGATGAGTAACATTGTTATGGAGTACCTCTTCTTCAGAGGCCTCTCTCATGGGATTGTCGTCTTCATGGCTGTAGCTCATTCTACCTCTTTTTTCAAGGGTAGTAAGAACTTGGATTGTAACTCGACTTTGTTCTTTTTCAAGAATGCCACCTTTTCAGGATTAGTCGCCGATTTTCCGGTACCTTCTCCGATGGAGAACGCAAAACTTCGAATGGGGAGTGCTTCCCACAGACGGCGCCAATCTGTTGACCCCGGAAATTGATCCTTCCACGTAGCCAACTGAAAGCTACTCCACCTATTCCTCCCTGCACACAATCAGCGAATAGTCAGGCGCACACGGCCGGAACCAAGGGGGGTGGTGGCGGCCGTATACACTCCGATGGTCAAGTCAGGTTTGGGTGATCGGAACAGTACCCAGGGGCTATGCAAATCAACAATAAAGGGGGAGGAGAAAATATATAAACTTGCTATGGAGTGCTATGTATTAAGAGTTTCATTCCCTTTGCCTCTTGCCAAACCTTGGGTATTTATAGGTGGTATGAACCGTTGGATGTGGAACGCGTGTATACATCTGACGGTATGAAGCGTCTGCTCATAGGCGTCAATCAGCCGCGTTTGTAGAGTGGGCGGACAGTTTGTTTCCACTGAGTTGAATTGACATAAAGTTGATAAGTCACATCAACTAGTCTCATGGAGACGTCAAATCAATTTAAGCCTTAGGTGCAGGACAAATCTCAAATTGGCGGCGGATCTTCTAACCAGGGTCCACTTGATCTCGACCTTGGAGGTGAGATGCTTCGGCAGATCAGTAGTAGAATCGCTATATCACTTCGGAGAAGCTTCGGAAGGGTCGTTTTCAGGTCGGAATAAGTGGTGCTATGGGGGGTCCACTTGATCTCGGCCTCGGAGGCGAGATGACACTTCGATATCCGAGGCGTGTATAATCGGAGCGTAACAGTATAGTAAGAAAAAGATCCATATCGACCGACAGGAAAGAACTCATATTGAATTAATATCAATCTCATTGTAATTATATTCTAATAACATTACTTTGAAATAAATCACTAGAAGAACAGTGACGAGAAGGAAATTTTGAATTCTAAAACAATTCACCAGAAGGCTTTAGAACTAGAACTGGAACTGGTTCTTTCCATTTCCCATGCTACATATCTTTGATGATAAACAACTATTTTTAGATGCTAATTGATTTCCTAATATTCATACAAGTGCATTAATATCGCCGGACAGCCAATAAATAAGCTATAATTTTAGGAGATCTACTCATAATGTTCAGGGCTTCTTGTTTTCAAGTCAGTATTCCTAGGGAAAAAAAAAAAAAAAAAAAAACATAAACTATGACCTCAAAGATACCACATTGTGCATATAACCTGAAATCAATATAGTACACGCAGTAGAAATAATGCACATAACCAAAATAACGTAGTGATTTACCAGCACCATAGGTCCAATTACCGTAATTGGAGCATGGATCATAGTCCAAAAGGCATGTCTCGAACCATTCAGCTCCCATTCTCCAGTCAATATTCATGTCTCGTACAAGAAAGGAACATACAATCTGTGGAAAAAAATAGGTTAAAATTTTACCTAGCTGAAAAACTCCACAGCACTGTTTAACTGGATTTTGCTTAGCCCTCATAATAGATTTGGAAGTGAGAAATTCACAAGCTGCAACTTGTTTAGTTCCTTCTCAGAAAAATTTAAAATTTACCCAAGTTTACCTGTCGCCCACGATTTGACATGAATCCAGTGGTCAATAGTTCTTTCATGTTTGCATCAATGAGAGGATACCTAAAAAGTCGGGAATTCTAGACAAATCAACATGTACCAAAAAAAGTTACAGAGCATCACTTGTCCCTTCACTTTCGTGGGGGTTAACACAGAAGGGGAATGCAGGATCGAGTGAAATAACAAGAATTATAATGGGTCAGAGTCGCTGGAAAAATACCCTGTCTGACCGTTTCTCCATGAATCAAACAATGTCGGATTTTGGCTCCAGTTAGCCTCCACTTTTCGAGGACCACCTGATATAGAAAGGCATAAACCTAAAATTAGGAAATCAGTTACCTAAAGTGATAGAATAATAGCCTTCCTCTATTCTGAATAAAGCATTACATATGCTGATCTTAACATACTTAATATTTTAAAATGAACACTGGAATTAACTGAACCCATTGTTCCAAAAAGCAACCTTATTTTTCTGAACCCTGCAATGGCACCTGCTATCCCAAAGTTATTATTAAAAACTACACTGACTTGCAGTGTGATCAGCAAGGGTTTGCCTAGAGAAATTGTAGGAAATGGCTACTGTTCTCCGTCCATTTATGAAAAGGCCACTTTAACTGATTATGAAAATGACAACTTTTGATAAGAAGTTCTAAAATACCTTTAATATCAATTCGCTCGAGGTAGTTCATATTGTCACTAAAGACAGATAACTGTTGCAAAGGCTGATTGTTGGGCAACTATGTGTCTAGCATTCTGCATTTCCAGAACTGTCTCGAAGGAAGAGAACTGTCACTAAGGCTTATTGTCGGGCAACTAGGTGTCCAGCATTCTACAGTTCTAGACAGTTCGGAGTGTATAAAGACAGTTGAACAGTCGCAGAGGAAGAGAAATGTAGTGAAAGCTGATTGTCTTGTGGGTAATAGAATGTTCCTTAATAGCTTGTCTTAGAAGCTTAAACTTTTTCTCAAAGATTATGCACTTGCCAACCATGGCCTATACGACATTTTTGTTTTAAAGAAAGAGTAAATTAGACACTGTACATTTAGAAGTGATCATTTGTACAATATTGTCAAGAAGTGGCCATCTTTTTTCTTTTTCTTTTTCTTTTTTTTTTTTTTCACTCTCCTATAAAGCGGCTATTTTAGAAAAAAAAATGTTAAGACCACAACATTTCAAACTCTGAATTAGCAACTATGGCTATTTGTACATCTTCCAAGGATTAAATATTATTTCATTCTCATACCTGCATGAAAGATAGAGTTTCCTTGCTTGATTGATAGAAATCTAAAGTAATCCCTCCATATCAATTCGAACAAAACCCTGAAAGGCAAAGAAGTGTTTCAGAGATAGATTATGAGACAGTTTAAATCCTTAACGAATATATAGTAGCTTGAAATTTTAAGGTTTTGGGTTTTTATCTCTTGATATTTTCTAGCATACAATAACAGTGACAGGAATATCAACTTTCAGTGTAAGAAATCAAGTTTTAATTATTACCTTCCATTTCCTTAAAGAGTACCAAGAGGCAAGAAAGTAAACTGAACTAGTCAGATAGAAAATCTATATTTATACTGCATTATCGGATTCTCAATTTGATTCAACAGGAAGTAGATACTCAGGAAAAAAAAAATTAGATGAAATAGAGAATATTATAAACTATAGTCGAAATCCACTCTTCGGATAAGATGGCATGCATAAACCATAACACATAAACACAAATGACGATATACCAGCATGTACTATCAATTTAGTTTTTTAATATGCATACATGCCTATCTACATACACGTTTCACAACCAGATACACATGGGCATAGTAACAGAAAAAGAAATTACCAGTAAGTTGAATCATTTGATTCTCGCTCCCTTTCAAATCTCTTCACCTAAACAAGTTAAGTTCAAAGCATCAGTGTTCATTGACATAATAATAGTGCTAATGTGAAATTTGAAGTAAAAATACGTATCTTTGTACCTCTTCGTAAATAAAACGAGGTGAAAGGCTTCCAGAGGCAAGCCAAGGAGAGAATTTTGTGGAGTAATCAGGTCCTAACATTCCATTACGTGTTTCTTTGTAGGTCCTCAATAGATTCTACAGCAGGCAAAAGAAAAAAAATAATTGCACAATTTGATTATCTTTAATTGAAGCAACAATATCAGTTTCTTATGACCTAATGTTGATACTTTCTGTTCAAACCAATTTGCAGATTTGTCCCTGGATTTGAAGTATTAGCTTACCATTACAAAGAAGATTTTTATTAATTTTCTTTGATCTATCTAGTAAATCCATTTTTCTTCGAGGCAAGTAAAGAAGTCGAAAACTGTCTCCAGAAATTCTGTAACCTATTTTATATGGAATCTTCCGTCTTCAAAATACTTGCATGTGAATTAAACCTTGCCTTTTGTCTTCCTTTTAAGCATTTGAACTCATTTCCAAAGCTGTCTATTATTATTCATCAGCATGAGCCATTCCTAGCCATTGTTACTGACTCCTCGTTCTATTTTGCAATAAACACAATCCTAGCATGCCTTATCAGATAAAAGTGCCATACATCTCCACAGTTTTAAGTGAAATCAAAGAAGACTCTAAAGAAATTCTTCATGATTGGAAAAAGAGTTCCCAACGTATAACTGTGTTTCGTAAGTATAAACAAAATGCATGCAGCAGAAATCCAACTTGAGAAAAAGAGAAGAGAGACATAGAACATAACTCCAACATGTCCTAGTTAATACATCACGAGTAACTGGAAATACATTAAGAAAAAAACTCTTGCCTTAGTCCAGAAATACTCGCATACTCTACTGACTGCTGCACTTTCACCTCCCACAAATGCCAATCCTTTACTAACCTGCAAGAAGTGAGGTATGTTTTACTTTATATTTGATATTTGCAAACAACATGTTATACTGATCAATGAAAGAGAAATTGCCTTCGCTTTCTCTAGCCCAAGAACAGTAATTTCCGGTATACATCCCCAATCCTTTATGCTGGGTGCTGGACCGAGTGATGTTGGGATCTTTATGCAACTTCGCACTTTGGACTTGGATTCAACTGACTGTGAATTTGATAATCAGAGAACTAGCTTTTCTGATGGGCAAAATATGTGATCTCAAACCTATAAGAAGAAAATCACTACCTTACGAAACTGAGTATACACATCTGGCAAAGAGTTGCAACTGAATGGAAGATCATCTATATGGTACATACTAGACCCCCAGATCAATTCCAATTTAGTGCTATTTGTAGAATTTGGCTTAACAGATTGACCTATGGATGATGATAGCACAACTTTCTGCAAACTTTTGGAAACTAATCTTTCAACATTCAGCTCCTCACTGCATGTTTCTTTCTGGGCATAAACCTATTCCATGCAGAAGGTTTATTTATTATCTTACCATCGAAACCAAAAAAAAAAGAAAAAGAAAGAAATTGTATAACTGATGACACTATAAACGAGTTTAGGTAAATGTCTTAACAGTGTGGACTCCATATGCCTTAGCAAGTGAAGGAAGAATTTCTTCAGGTTTCCCATTTTGAATTAATAGGTCTAGACCCCGCTTCATCAAATTCTTTTTCAAGTCAGCCAAACACTCGATAAGAAATTGTGCCCTCAGGCCTGCAAAAGAAAAGTGTTTGTATCCAATTCTTCTAAGATAAAAAGTAGATTAATCGAGAATTCAGAAAATAACACCCCGAGTAAACTTATAATATCCCACTTAGCCTCCAACAGCGATCACGAGAATTCATAATTAATTGAGGTGCAACTTCAAGAAATTGACAGAGTAACAGCCCAACAATATGTTTATATTTCGATATTCAAGCATCACTAAGCCCTTGTTTGTCAACCATTCTCCCACGTTCTACCACATTATTTTTTCTACAGTACTCATTTTCAACCACACATTCTCCATTAAAATAATATTACACATTTATCAAAAAAAATTCCTTCTTTTTTAACACACATTTCAACATCAGTCACTATTTCATACTCCAATTTTTGAAATTAAAGGGCTTCAAACAGGGCCTAAATATATACCTTAGCTGCTACACACATACGAGCTTAATGTTGATATTATGTTTTAGGAGTGTCTGGGCAGTAGTAATCTTGACACAATTTAGTGGTGGTGCGTATCCCAACAAAACTCTCTTATCTTCAGCTCCATTCGCCATCCAAATCCATAGACATGCAAAAATGAAATGTTTTTTAATACTTTCCTTTCCAATTTATCTCTCTAACCATGCTCTATATCCTGGTTTCATATATGGGCAAGGATATTCTGTTCAATTTCGAGTTTCATAAAAAAGGTCACATTCTATTTTGCCCTTTTTGGTCTATGAATTCTGTTCCAACCATCCAGACAGCAAAAGAAGGGATATTAATGTCCCTATGCAAATGTCAAGATTATCCTTGTGCTTCTAATCTAGGAACATGGGGTCTCAAAAGGTTGCACTATAAAAGGCATAGTGTCCTAGGCACTTCCCAGGACATTGCCATTGTCCTTGGTGTCCTACTCCTCTCATGAGACCAAGTCACCATCCTTGAATAATCATCTTGTTCATTCGCAAAAAGCAAAACAGTACCATACGGGTTGCTTGCTTTGTCATGCTAAAATCGAATAAGATCACTTGATCAGTAGCCTACTCACAAGTAGGGCTAAGCATGGTCCGGAATGAGAACCGAACCGGACCTGAAATTTTCGGACATCTAGTAAATAAAACTTTTGGGTCAAAATTTAATTAATGAACAATCTGGGTTCTGTTCAGTTCGGTTCTTGGGTTTCGTACTATAATTAAATCTTTTAATATTTACAAAGTTACATTAATTTAACTAATGATATGTTCAATTTTAGCTTTTACAAAATAATGAAGTCAAAATTTATGTGTCTTTTGCATCTCTTTTTGTTGAGATTTTCATAAATTTGATTGTTAAAATTACAGAAAGAGGGAGAAAACGAGTTCAAAATAATTAAGAAAGGTGTTGTCGAGCTTCTACTTGATTTCTCCATAACGATAGAAGCGACAATATGGTAGAATAATAAATTTAGGTAAGATTTAGGTCAATTTGAT